TTTTTTGTGTGGGAAGGAGCTAAAGGAATTCAGGAATTTGGAATTATTTCTAATACTAAACATTTTAGTAGCTATGTATTTGAGTGTTTTCAGAAATAAAATAGGAAGCATGGCATTGATGGAGTCATTCTTAAGTTTTGGTGTGTTAAATAATATGACCAGTGGGTGTGAAAGAAATTGCAATTTCTTCCTAAATGGAAAACTTAATGGTATTATGTAATATTCTGATTTTGCTTTTACTAGAAGTTCAAAGGAAAATCTTTTGTATTAGGGATATCTGCATAAGAATAAACATTTTATTTTATTTAATGTGGTATATTATATATTTTGTGTCTTAATTTAGATGTTTAAAATTTTATCTTGAAAAATGTTTTTCTTTTGTTAAAATATAGTTTCTTGAGCGAGAGGTGGTGGTTCATGCCTATAATCCCAGCACTTGGGAGGCTAAGGAAGGAGGATCGCAAGTTTGAAGTCAGCCTGGGCTATCTAGCAAGACCCTGTCTCAAAAAAGAATATGGTTTGTTGAACATGGAAAATTTGAAGATGTTTAATAAAGAAATATCTTAAAATCAAACAGTTTTTCTCAATTAAAATTTGAAGCCAAATCAACTAACTTCACATATCAGCAATTTAAAGGATCTGTTAAACTTTTAAAGTTATATATGCCTGTCATTTTTTACAAACATACTAAGAATTTCAAACAAAAACTGTTGAAATGTACAGTGAACATCAGCATGCCACATCACATATACCCCACAACTTCTATTTTACTGTATTTTCTTTTTCACTTATTTTCCTATTTCTCCAGCCCTCTATCACATGGACAGCTATCTTATTTTTAATGCAAAGTTACAGACATAGATGCATTTTACCTGGAAACACTTCAACATGCATGTCAGTAATCAGAGTCCAATGTTTATTTATAATTCCTTTTTAAAAGTGAAATTTACATACGGTGAAATGTATGAATCTTAAGTGTACCATCCAGTGTATTTTGATAAATTCATATACCTATAAAATCCAAACCCCTATAGGTATAATGAATATTATTGTTACCCCAGAAAGTGTCTCTTTCCAGTCAATGCCCATACACATTCCCCAGAGGTGACCACTGTTCTGATAGTGCTTTCCTCCATAGATTAGGTTGTTTTTGTTCTAGAATTTCACATAAATGGAATCCTATAGTGTGTGTCAGGGTTCTTTAACTTAGCAGACTATTTTAGAGATTCAGCCATGTCTCATGCATATATCAGTAGTTCCTACCTTTTTTATTGCTGAGCACGATTCCATTCTATGAATAGATTATTTATTCATTGTCTTGATGGGCATGTGGGCTGCTTTCTGGTTTTTGACCATTATGAGTAAAGCTGCTGTGAGCCTTCATGTAAAAGTCTTTGTATAAATATGTTTTCATTTCTTTGGGTAAATACTTAGGAATGAAATTGCTGGTAATTCTGTAGTTAAATTTAGCTTCTGAAAAAATTTATTTTTAGTCATTCTTATCACAGCACCACATTTCACTTTTAATTGATACTTTATTTTCCATTTCTACCTGCCACCAGGTGATCTTACCTTATTTCTAGGTTATGACAGTTTAGTAGTTTCTCTTGTCTCTAGTCCTTCTGTACTTCAGTCCCCTCAGTCCATCTAGCACAAAGCTTACAGTGAAAGCACCACAATTTGACACCTTACTTCCTTGTTCAAAAGTCTCCAGTGCCCACTGTATAGTTTCAGGGCCCTCTAAATCTGTCACATTGAGATGAAACAAAAAAAGGCCAGTTTGCAGTCCTAACTTTTATCTTGTGGTTGTGGGCATCAAACTCAGGGCCTTACCCATGCTAGGTAAGTGTCCTACCACTGAGCTACATCCTTAGCTCTAATAACAGTCCTATATGTGCCATCCTGTACGTGTTTTGGCTTTCATGCCTTTGCTTATATTGCTCTAGTCTAGAATATTCTTCCCCTCCCATCTCTCCCAAATTTAGGTAAGGTACAGCTTGAAATTCTACAGTTTGTGAGCTCCTTATGGACAAGGACCATGTCCACTTATTCTTTTATATTCCAATTCATATTTCTCATAGTGCTAAGAATATGTTACAAATTGAGTCATACATACTAATTTGCTTGTCTGATACTGTTGATTACAAATCTACTTTTTAATGTCCATTGTTGATTTTTAATGCCTAGTTAGTAAGTTTTATATCTGAAGAGCTATTGGGTACAGTGGTTTTCAAATGCTTATTTTTAAGTTATAATGATATAATTTCCAACTATGAAATATATGTAACAATAAAAAAGTACTATTAATATCTATTGTAATTACATTGTAGGAAAACTGTATGTAGCTGATTCCTGTTGTGAATGAGTCATTTATGATGACTCATAATTGGAAGACCTACTGCCAATCCTTTTGTTTTCATGTTCAGTGAAATGCTATAAAATGTACTATATGTGTTCCATACCTGCCCTCTTAAACAGCTGCGCTATATTGTGACTGCAGATGTAGATAGTGGTGGTATGAGGCTGTGGGCCTAGAAACATGGTTTGTTCTTTCATTCGGTGAATGCTGCCCCATACTGCTGAACCACGCGGGTTGTATGTGCTCTCTGTGACGCATTGAGGCTCTTTGGGTTACTTTTTTAGAAATAGGAGATTGTTTGCTTCCTTGGACAGCTGAGCTTCTGTCCTCAGTGGTTCAAATTCAAGCCCTCCTCTTTCCAGTTGTCATGTCAGTGTGCTTGCAACTCTGTATCCCAAATACCATTTATAATTTCTATTGGTCACTGCTCTTGTCGTCTTTTCCCCCTTAATTGCTGGTTTCTTTTCAGCTGTTGGTGTGTTTTATTACTCCTTTCCCTCTTAAATTCTCTATTTCTTTTTCTTTCCTTCTTCATTATCCTATCACTCCTTCTGGATTTCCCATTTTATATAAAAATGCACTTCCTTTGCAAACCCTGGGAAATAGTGAAAGCACCATGTTGGACAAAAATCATCCCCCCTTCCTTCCTCCCTTTCCCTTCTCTCTCCTCTCCCTCCTTCCCTTCTTTCCTCCCTTCTTCTCTTGCCAGGAAAGTACTCTTCCACTTAAGCTGCATCCTGTACTCCTTTTAAAATTATTATTAATTGATAAAACTCATGTCGTATTTCTAATAATTGTTTGTGTATATGTATTTTATGCCCAGACCAGCCTGGATTATGACCCTCCTATTTATGCTTCCCACATAGCTGAGATGACAGGCTCACATCACTGCATCCAGGTTTTTATTGGTTGAGTTGGGGTCTTGTAGACTCTTCCCCCCTTGCTGGCCTTGAACTGCAGTCCTCCCCATCTCTGCCTCCTAATTAGCTAGGATTACAGGCATGAGCCACTGTGCCAGGCTAAGAATGTTTTTTCTTTGAGTAGTATCACAGTAGCAGAAATGTGGAAAGGACTGTGGTCTGGGTCTGACTTTATATTGTTTACTGTTGAAATAACTAAAGATTGATAAGTTTTTACCCTTATTAATTAATTTTTCCATCGGTTTATTCATCATTCATCTCTTGATTTCTAGGTCCCAAGGAATCCTGAGATCCCAAATCCAGCACTGGCTCAAAGAGAAGAGCAAAAGAAGATTGATGGAGCTGAACCTCTTACACCTGAGGAAACTGAAGAAAAGGAAAAACTTCTCACACAAGTAAAATATTTTAAATAACTGAAATATTTCTAGTCAACCAAGAAAAATAAAAAAAGTATAAATAACACTTACTTTTTATTATATGGGCCTAGTATCCTGATTTGACACACCAATAAAACTCTATAAAAACAGGTTTAGACCATATATCCCATTTTTAAAAGTCCATTTTTACAGAATACAGTTTTTGGAAAATACATATATTTGTAAGTGTCAATTATTAGAAATACAACACGCTTTTTTACCAATTACAATAAGGCCAGTGAATTCAGATTTGAATCCCAATAGACAGTAACTACTAGCATATTCTTGAAATTTTAAATTTCTTATTTTGATTGATGTGAATTAGCCCTTGAAATTATACTGTAGCAATCTTTTATCTATGGAATGCTTTTTTAATTTAAAAATTCCTTTTATCTTTTCTTAGAAAGAACTTTAATACAGTGATGAGAGATTTTTGATCGTTGTATAATTAAAAGCTAACAGTTACTGACTAGGGAAGGTTTCCATTTGAATAAAATATTAATGCTTTCAAAGTCATTGTGGCTTTAGTTGAGTTTTCTATCATACTTCCCAAATAAATTCTAGAAGACAAAAAAGTTTTCAGCATAAAAGACTTGGATAAAAGACTTGACATCACCTAAATTTAAGAAGTTGCCAGCAAGTTTATTTATTTGACATTTTTTTCAAACTTTGTGCTAGGCAGAATAGTAGGAAATGCTCCACATTTATTATTAAAAGGTAGTTTTTCAGTGTTTCCAACACAAAGGAAGGATGTGGATAAGTGTTTGAGGTGATGGATATGCCAATTACCTTGATTTGATCATTGCACATTGCATTTGTGTGTCAAATATCACACTGTGCCCCAGGAATATGTTCAATTATGTGTCAATTAGAAGTAAAAAAGGAAAGAGTTGGTATATTTTATGCCATTTTATATAGCTCTTTCCCTTGATGCAACATACAATTTTGTTGAATGAATTTTGACAAAATACATTCATAATTTTTAGAGGCAAACATCTGGAAGTTAAAAAGTTGAGTTTGAAAACATAATAGCAGTTGGCAGTGTTCTAGGGCTTACCACAGAATAAAAGGAAACATTTAAAAATTCATGTTTTATTTCCAAAATAAAGCTATGGCCTTTGGACACTCTGTGCCTTACAATATGCTGTGAGCATAGAGTGTAATGTGAATGAGCATAGAGTGTAATGTGAATGTGCAGTCTCAACTGAGAAAATGCTTGAGTTTGTAATCAGAAGTATAGTCAGTTTTTTGCCCTTGGTAGTTGAATTTATTTTGAATCATATTTCCCTGCTGCTACAAAAGTAGCCTTTAGAAAATCATGGCAGTACAAAGGAACAAAATGTGAGGTCATCTGAAATCTTTATCAACTAAAAGCCAGAGATAGAAAATTACAATTTCCTGTGTATCACACTATTGTGGATGGGGACTTGAGGGGTAGAAAACAATTCTTGGTCTGCAACTCTATAGGTGGACTAATAATGGCAAAAAGATTTGAAACACTAGCTGTTCTATATTTTGATAAAGAAATTCAGGGGGTCCAATAATGTTCTGTTTATAGAGATTCTATTTATGAATACAATTTTGAACAGAAATTATTTATTCACTGTAATTTGGAAGGATATAAAGAGCTACAAAAGTTTTCCTGCTTTCTCTTTTGATTTTCTTTCAGAGTTCTTTTGATTTATTGCATTCACATTCCTCTTTTTTTAATTTACATGGAAATAGATTTGGAAAAAATCACTGAAGTAGTGGAATATGTCTTCAGCATTTATATTAGCATTTTTATTTTAATGCATTTGTATTTTAGTATAGTAGGCATATGTAAAATATGGAATTAAAAACTATAGAATATCTTAGAAGTATAAATCATCTTTAAGTACTTGGAAAGGAAGGAGTATGTTCCCTTCAAAATAAAAAAGCAGTTATAACAACGCTCACTCACCTTTTGATTCCAACATAAAAAGCGAGTGATTTCTTTTAAAGAGGAACATTTTAACTCTTTGAACTGCTTTTAATGTATCATTGTATAGCAGTAAGTAAGATAATAAATAGATTTATTACTATAACCTCTACTGATGCTGCTTAACGTTTTGTTCACAGGGTTTCACAAACTGGACTAAGCGAGATTTTAACCAGTTCATTAAAGCTAATGAGAAATATGGAAGAGATGATATTGACAATATAGCTCGAGAGGTAGAGGGAAAATCCCCTGAGGAGGTCATGGAGTATTCAGGTTTGCATATCATTTCAACCATGATATTTTATTTTAACCTTACTCATTTCTTTATTGTCAACTTAATAGTGCCTTTGTTCAGAGATCATTTAAACTTTGTGAATAAAATATAGGTGAAAGTATAAAACATAATTGTATTTCTATGAAAAGATTACAGTATTTATCAAAACAAACTGACTACTGCTGTCTCTAGTAGTTAGCTAATAAAACAAGGGTGGCTATTGGATGGGCATTGACAGAATTAGTTTTCTACTTTCCCACTTCTGGAATTTGGTCCTCTTCTGGTCCAATCCTGAGACTTCAGTTCAGATGATTGAAATAGTCTTTCTGGATAATCCTTGAAGAGAGTTCTTGTCAGGTGCATTTTGATGCTCAAACTCCCTCAAGGTTTCAGGCTACTTCATGAGGCCACGTGGGCCTTGTTAACTTGAGGCATGCCAGAGTTGATCTAAAAAGATTGCCTGAACAAATCTCTTCACTGGTCTTCCAGTTATCTTCCTCTCTTACTCAGCTGTCTTTGGCCTCAGCCAGAGTCAGTGTAGCCACTGAAACATGTGGAATTAATATTAGTTCTCATGTCACAGTACATCCAATCTCAGGCTTCTGAAAAGGAATCTTATTAATATATTTGTTTTCTCTGTGTTGAACATAGGCCATTTCTAGTTTCCAAATAGGTTGAGCTTTCAAATTCAGTCTAAATATCAGCTGTTTAGAATCTACAGCATAGAAACAGTGTTAAAAAGCAGGTGCAAGTTTCTTTGTTATTCTCCCCCAAAGCCTATTTAACCTAACCACTGAAATTCTGTTTTTGTAATAGTAGGAAAGAAACATTATAATACCAACAAATAAACCAAAGATTAATACTTACTAGGAATTGATTTTTAATTTATCTAGAGAGCCCAGGGCTTGAAGAAATCAAGTTTAATTAGAGAATAGATACTTTGTTTTTCCTCCTGGAAATCTAAAAGGGTCTTCTGGTGGTTAACAAGGACATACAGGTTGGTTTTATTTTACAGGTTGGTTTTATTGAGTTTTTATTTCATATAATGTCACATGAAGCTTATGAAGTTCCTTTTTCTTGATACCAGCATGGCACTATTGTTTCTCTTAAGGATTAGCACAGAAGATGAGAGCATTTGGGAGCTTACAAAGGGGAACAATAGAGAGGAAAGAGAAAATTTAGCAGCAAGAGTTGAATGAAAAGAGTGTAAAGGGCATATACAGAGAGATATTGTGAAGAATTTTCTTTAGAAGATAGGAAGATAACATCTGTATACTTGAAGTTGCAAGAAAAAATAATTTACAAAGATATCACAAGGATGGGCATGGTGACACATGCCTGTAACCCCACCACTTGACAGACAGAGGCAGGAGATTCACAAGTTTGATGCCAGCCTTAGCTACATAGTGAGAGCCTATCTCAAAAGATAAAGGGCTAGGGATGTTGTTCAGTGGTAGGGTTCAGTGATAGAGCGCTTGCCTGGCATTTGCAAGACCTTGGGTATACAGCTCAGCAGAAGAGCACTTGCTTAGAATGCATAGGTTTGATCCCCAGCACCACAAAAACAAAACAATAAAAGATATCATGCTAGGTATGATTATTTCAGGTCCACTTATTTGCTGTCCATCATGTTGGGGGTCATGTCAGAAGGTGGGTAGTTGGGAATGGATTTTAGGTAGTTGGTTGAAGTAACAGAAGAAACGTGTATAGTTGGCTGTTTCTGAGTGTGCAGTATTTTATACATAGCAGGCATTTAAATATGTTTTCAATGAAAAAGTGGGAGAATTAATAAATGAACACAGGTGCTTATAAAAATCAGAGTACTAACATACCTTTCTTGATAAGGCTCTAAAAATGAAAAATTTGAGAATGTAGAGTATGTCATTAAAAGGCCTTTTACTGAAGTCATAAGAAATGGCATATTATATACCAGATTTGGTTCATCAATAAAATTTGGTTGGGTGACACAGTAATTTGAATATTCCTCTGTATGTATACAATTTAAAATCCCAATGAAGTTTAAAGAAGCTGTAAGTCTCTGGAAATATTGTAATATTAGTGAGTTCCAGAAGCAAGAAACAGCTTCAGTAGAAATTGCCACTTCATAGGAAAAAATTGGATGATAGAAATAGAAAGCTATGTTCACATTTATATGCTGCCCTCTGCTGTTTCACTTTATGTATTTGGTCCCTTTTATATAGTATTTTAGTAAAGAGGCTCACTTAAATCAGTATTTAGAAGCATTTAATAATTGAACAAAATATACATTAGATGAATCTGAATCTTAATTTAAAAAGTATAAGTAGTCTTTGTGTTAATTATCCTTTCTGTATCCTTCTGTATTCTTTCTGTTAATTATTCTATAATTCCTTGGATCTATTTGGTTTTAAATGGTAGCAATTTAAAGTGGTAATTCTGTTTTCCAGCTGTATTTTGGGAACGTTGCAATGAATTACAGGACATTGAGAAAATTATGGCTCAAATTGAACGTGGTGAAGCAAGAATTCAGCGAAGGATCAGTATCAAGAAAGCCCTGGATGCCAAAGTACTATGTTTTATATCAAATTATTAATAGATGATTTTATGTGATGTAGTGATTGACTTATTTTTGTGCATGCAGTTAAAAGCACTATTCCATTGAAATATGCAGATTGCAAGATACAAGGCTCCATTTCATCAGTTGCGTATTCAGTATGGAACCAGCAAAGGAAAGAACTATACTGAGGAAGAAGATAGATTCTTGATTTGTATGTTACACAAAATGGGCTTTGATAGAGAAAATGTGTATGAAGAATTAAGACAGTGTGTACGGAATGCTCCCCAGTTTAGATTTGACTGGTTTATCAAGTCTAGAACTGCCATGGTATGTATTCCTTTTGTTACTTTTCTTGTTTTGAAAAGCTTTAGCCATTCTACATCCTTCATGTAGAGTCTCCAGTTGTCAACCATTTTGTCACCTTGGCTTTCTCTTCCACTCCCCCTCTCTCCATAAATATACATACATACCTAAAATCTCTATTAAACTATAGTCTCTATTTTATATTAAAAATATGGAAACATGTATATTCTATATTCAGAAATTATCTGTATTTTATATTCATAAATAGATGTATTTATGAGCAGTTTTTAAATGTTGCAGGCAACATGAATGTTCACCTCTAAATACTTTAGCATGTGTCTACTAAAAATCTGTACGTACTTCTGCATAACTACAATCCCACCTGAAATGTTAACATTGATTCAGTAATGTCATCTAGTATAAAATCCATGAGCAAACTTTTCTAGTTGCCCCCCAAATGTCTTTTATAGCTTCTTTTTAAAATTGATGATCTAGTAAGTTCACACATTGGTTGTTGGGTCTCTTTGGTCTTATTAAATCCACAAAAAAAAAAATTAAATCCACAACTCTTTTGCTTATTATGACAATGAGATTTTTAAGATGTCCACGCTAGTTGTCTTGTAAAATGTCCCACAGTGTACCTCCTCATTTGCTCATTATTAAATTTAGGTTCAAGCTGGGCAGTGGTGGCTCACGCCTATAATCCTGGCTACTCAGGAGGCAGACAGGAGGATTGTGACTTGAAGCCAGCCTGGGCAAATAGTTTGTGAGACCCTGTCTCGAAAATACCCAACACAAAAAAGGGCTGGTGGAGTGGCTCAAGTGGTAGCATGCCTGCTTAGTAAGCATGAATCCATGAGTTCAAACCCCAGTACTTCCTCCCAAAATTAAGCTCAACATTTTTGGCAAGAGTGCTACAGAAGTGATGTTGTGTACCTCCTATTGCATCATATCAAATGTCATGTCAGGTTGTCACACTATGGTGATGTTAAGTTTGGTCACTTGGTTAATATTATCCTCAGAGTTCACCACTTTAAAGGTACATTTTCCACTTTGTAAGTAACCAGTTGATACTTGAGACTGTGTAAATGGTTAGGATTTATTTTCAATGAAAAGGAATTGTTGCCTCAGTTGAGTCTTTATAAGAATATTATGAAACAGAATAATTAAGTGAAAGTTATTTTATCTTCTTCAGTTTCCCCCATTACTTTCTAATATGAATTTTATTCCTGTTACATTCTAATGTTTTTTAGCAGTGGTGTTTGTGATGATATTGAAATACAGATAGCACATTATTTTTGAGACAGAGTCTGACTAGGTAACCCAGGCTGGCCTTGAACTTGCTATGTAGCCAAGGTTAGCTTTGAACTCACAATCCTCCTGCCTCAGCCTTCTGAGTGCTGAGATGACAGGCATCGCCACTACACCCAGCCACATGCAACACATTTTTAATGCTGGCATTGTCAGTTTTGTCAGTCAAGGTTACTAAGACAAAAATAGATTTACATAGCCCCCAAATTAAAAGCAACAAGAGGCTAACAATCCAAACAATGATTTTGTGCCTAGTGATACATATTTTCTAGTTCAAAAATTCATCTGGGTGTGAAATAGTGCTTCATATTTTGACTCATTTTATATTTTCAGTACAAGTTGAATAAAAAGAAAAACCCAAGTTGCTCTGCTAAAGACATTAGTCTTGGCAGATGCTTTGGAAGATCAGTTCTTTGTTAAAACTTTAGCACAAATTTAGAATGCACACAGATTATGTCATTAGTATGTACCTATCAAACTTAAGGATGACATAATGTTGAAAGAGTGAGCAAATATTTTAGTCCAAGCCTGAATCCACAAGGAACTACAGCAATTGAAATTATGTTTTGGTTGAATCTAGCCACATGACATTTATTTGAGATAAATGTAAAGTATTGTACTTATGCAAAAGAAATATGTATACCAAGATAGAGTTAGAAAAATTGAAAAAAGAATAAAAAAGATGAGTTAATCTGTAGCATGAAGGACTAAAATTTGATATAGGGAAGAGTTATTTGACAGAGTTCTTTGGATCATTGAAGTAGATTATTGAATAACAATGTAGAATAGCTTTTCTGTGAACTTTTGAAAATGAGATTCTACTTTCACTGTCTGAAAACTGGCAGTAAGTTAGTTGGCCTTTTAAGGTACCATGTAGCTCAGTGTATCCATGACCATGTTTAGCAGAGAACTTTCAAAAGTCATGCATTTACGATTTCTAGCCATTCGTGTGTTTATTTGTGTAATGACATAATTTAGGGCAGCACCAACAGCTTGTAAAAGACAATACTTATGCACACGTCCTTCTCTGTTACTGAATTCTTAGTTTCATTTTAATGATATCTTACTAGTTTTTTAAAAGATTGAGAGCTTAATGCTGTTTTTAGTTTCTGGATTCATTAAACTAAAGCAGTACAATGAAAGAGATTCAAAGTCCAAAGAAAATCTGATACTATTTGTAATATGAACATGATTGTAGAACTACATAACCTTCTTATTTCATTTTTTAAGAAAAAAAATCCAGTATATTATTAACAGCCACTAGATGTCTCTGAACTCCTTTGTAAAAAAATCTGGTTTTGCCTCCATCTTCTTTTTAAAACACATTTACCTCTGTACTTTCTTTACCAAGACATTTAAGTCTTTAGTGTGTGCTTTCAAATAAGCAGATATTTAAATATATACGTGGTCACAAGATGAAGTCTTTATTTTGTCTATTAAAAACGAAGACACTTCTAGAAGCTTCTAGAAGCTGGAATTTCTCATTTCTGAGATCTTTAAAATATATAGTCATTTGATATTTTAAAATGTTAACTGAAAGGTTTTAAAATAACTTTTCTGTTATTAAATTTTTATTTCCCTTCTACTTAATGAGTAACTGTTTACTTATGTTTTGGGACTTAGAGTATAAGTAGTATTTTAAAATATGCATATATTTGTACCATCTTTTGGACTGTATCATGATAGCAATTATTAAGGAATTGTAGGAATGGATTACTAATATTTCTAAATGATATTTGCCCCCTTGTTTTAAAAAATAACTGTCCTTTATTGTAAATCATATTCACAATCCAGGAAGAGAAACCAGTCTCTCGAAAGAGGCAGCTGTGCTTTCTGAAGTCAAAACAATTTATTTCATTGAAAAATCCAATCTTAGAAAGAGAGGATGTAATTTGGTTCATTTTGTATCACTGTGTTTAAATTAAAATATTGCTAATGATTGAACTCAGCTTACTAAAAAAGCTATGACTCTTCTTTCCCAGAGATTTCAATAAATAGTATGAAATCCTTCTTAGGCAAATGTAGAAACCTTAATAGTTATTCACAGATCTCAAAGTACTGAATCCATGGCTCCTTACTTAACCAACAGTAAGGAAGTGCTTAAAGATGCAAGCCTCCACTTCTAAATATGCCTTACTTTGAAAGCCTTCAGCTAAAGGTTGAAGATTTCTTTGAGGCTCTTCTCCATTTAAAAATGCTGGCTGTACAAAAGAGAAAATGAGTTTCAGTTCTATTTCTCTGTGCTAAAAGGATTGTGTTTTTTTTTCTCTGAGAACTTGTGCGGGTTTTAAGCAATCAGCCTCTATTGAACTACATAAACAAGTAGGAAGGACATGCACAACTCAGATTTTTAAGCTCAGAGCATATGAATTGCCCTACCATTTTCATCCTAAGAAAAATATCTTAGCATGAGGTCTTACTCTTAGGACATTCAAAAACTATCAGAATTAAAAAGGATCTTTACCAAATGACCATAAGAAGAATTGATAATACTTTGTATTTATATAGTACTTTTTATATAGTGCTTTGCCAACCATTTTACCAGTATCAGTTCATTAATTTTTTGCCATTCTTTTAAGGGAATTGATGTCAGGGTACTATCTTGTTCACTTAGTGGCTAATATCACTGGGAGATTTGAGAAAAATATGAGAGGTCCAAAAGATCTAGTGCATTAGTCAATTTGCTGCCCTGGACACATGGAAAAAATCCCCTAAATTCAATCAGTAATGCCTTGAACCTTCTTTGGTCCTTTCTAAGCACTTAAATAGAAAAAGCAGAATTTAATTCTCTGAAATAAATAACATTTTTGATAATACACTTACTGCTTTCTTTACTGGGTTGCCTTGACTCTTTTTGTTTTCAAATTTATTAGCATATTAAAGTTTTACCTGGGGGTACATTGTGACATTTACAAAAGTGCTTACAATATATCTTAGTTAGATTTACCCCTTCCATCATTCTCCTTTATCCCTCCTACCTCCCTTCTTAGAGCAGTTTTAATTTATTTAAACTCTTTTAAACTCTGGGGAGCTTTTTTTTTTTCTCTTCAGCCAGCTCAAAAAGTTCTGTGTGCATTGCCTATGGCCATGTACATTGCAGTTGAAGCACAGTATTAGTGATTAGTCATTACAATTACCCTGTCTTTTGTAGTAGTTTAAATGAATTTGGTGATAACATCTCAGGGAGAGAATCACACACTGGTTGAATATAATGTAATAAAAATTTCATGTTATTAGTTTGTTTTCAAATCACAACTTTATTATTAATGAAAGTATTCCTTATTTCAAAAGTAAGAAAATGACATTCTCATTAGAATTGTAGGAGAAAAGGTACTTTTTAGAAAACATTGCTATAGCTTTTTATTAACTTGGTTCCCATTTTATAGGTTTATCACAGTGGCTAGTAAAGGTTAATTCAGTTATTGGTTTAGCACAGGATATTTTATAAATTCACTGTCTAGTCATAAAAGCATTTTCTTTTGTAGATACTTTAGAAGAGAAAAGTGAAACTTGAAAATTTCCTACTTGTTCTATAGTCATAATAACATTTTTGTTGCTTATGAAGCCTAGTCTAGGAATTTCATAAAGGAAGACTACTTATGATTTTTTATTTATACATTAGTGCTTAATTGTGTGTTAACAGCTAATATTGATATTTTAAAGCATTACATTCTTAATGAATGTGAGAAGTATGAATAATGCATTGATAAAATTGATAATCTATAAAATGTATCTGATGGGTTCTTTGATTTAGTATAGAGTTAAAATATTAAAAGCCAAATAATTTATGCTCATAGTGATTCTGTTAACCCTGGTGCACTTGAAAGACTAAAATGTCCGCTTTTTTGCTTAATTTTGAAAAAGGTCCTATAACAGAGGGATGTACAGAGAAGGTAGTTGTTTTTAACTTTGCCTTGCAGCAAAGGAATCAGAGGAATAGCTTCACAGAAGAGGTCCTTCTTGGAACAAGTTTGAAAAACTAGAAGGAGTTGACCCTGAGAGTACATTCCAGGTTGTGGAAGCTGAGCATATTCAGAAACTACAAGTAGGTTGGTATGGTGTGATTGTGAATAGAGAATACTGGATCGATGAGGCTGGAAAGATAGCCAGCAGCCAAATGATGAAGGGTTCCATCTGCTATATCAAAGACTTCAATTTTGGGTCAATATTCTGTAGGAAGTGGAGTCACTGAAAGATCATAACAGGCAGTGACATGATCAAATTTACATTTTTTAAGATACTGCTGTTGGATGTAGGTAGTGTTTCCTTCACTTAACAACTACACTAACAGTTTTCAATTTATAGTTTCTATTTTTCTCCATCCAGCTTTTTTCCTTCCCTTGGCTAATATGCCACCATCTGCCCCAGAGTCATTTTTTTTCTTACTCTTTTCAAGTGAAGTGCAGTTGGGTGTATTAAAGAGATAGTATATAACACCTTATCCAGAGTAGGCATTTAGTAAATAAATGAGCATAGCAGTTTTTTTTTACTTCAGTTGCATCTACCCATAGCTCCTATGATTGGACCAAAGTTGGATAGGATGTGAGAGAAATGTATAATATATTAAGTTTAATTTCAGCTCTTTTCTTTCTTTCAATCTACTTTTTGTAATGACAGACTTGTTATTCTATAGCTTTTTTTATTTATTCATATGTTTTGAATATACAGTTGTAAATTTTCATGCGTGCTATTATGCAGCTGTAGTATTTCATTTAGGACCTGAACTGTCTAAATCAGAAATACAGTTAATACCTAACGGTAACCATTCTAGGTATTTATACTGAATATTTATTACATTGTGAAAATGTGACATAATATTTTATAAAATAACCATGCTTAAGTAGCAACAGTTGCATAAAGCATCATAAATTGAATGCTGTGTTGAGAAAAGTAGGATATATTTATTTGAACATTAACTTCCTTTAACTGCCAGTGTTCATGGAGTGAGATTCTAGTATAGACTGCCATTGTTTTCTGTTTAGTGTGATAGAGGTTCAAAGGGACTCAGAATCTGGGAAATATATTACAGAATTATAGATAAAGGTAATCAGTTTAAAACATTTATTTTCTGGAGTAAATTATAGATAATATATAAAGAACAAAGAGAAAGAATGCCCATATTGTTTTACTAAGAATTATAGAAGAAAATTATGACCTTATAGAATATGCCAAAATTCAGAGGTATAGATTGGGATGCGTGTGTTTTTTTT